GCTTCCCTCAGCCCTGCTCCTGCTGTGCTGGAGGTGAAGGGCAAGAGGGAAAATATCCCAGGGTTTCTCCCCAGTGAGAGTTTGAGTCATCTCTCCTTGCTGGTAAAGTGGGGGGTGAGGGAGGTCCTTGGCTGTCTCAGGAAGGGAGCGGGGCTGCAGCTCCAGGGGCAAGGGGGGATCATGTCCAGCAGCATCCCAGGAGGCAGCTCTGGCAGCGGGTTTGTCCAGGAGGGCTGTGCCCGCTGCCAGAGCATTCCAGGTTTGGCTGGGCAGGGAGGTGGTGGGTCCAGATTCGTGAAGAGCACAGGCAGGAGCCAGCTGCCTGTGGCCAAATCCTGCCTGGATTGCTCCAGCAGGGCAGGGCTTCCACCTCGGGATGTGATGGCAGATTGTCACAGGAGCATCAGCACCATCCTGGGACATGGCTCTGACGGGAGCAGGGACTGGATGTGACAGCAGCCTGGAAACAGCCTTGACTGGAGCCTGGATGAGCTCTAGGTTCAACTAGAGAATGTTTTTATCCTTCCAGGCAGGAGCCCTGGGCTTGCTGGAGAGCAGGACCACAGGGCTCAGACTCAGAGGATGCAGGATCAGCCCTGTGTCCTACCCTCACTTCCACATGCAGGACACGTGGATTAATAAGAGCACCCAGGCGGCTCCTCTTTGGGAATGGATGGGACTCCCTGGAAAAAGGGAACCCTGCCCCCAAGGAAATGGGAAGTGGGGCCCCCCCAGGGGCTGTGGGATGCTCCAGAGTGGGAGCTGGGCCTGCTCTCTCCAAGCTTGGCACGGGGAAGAGTCCTGGGGAATGTTGAGGGACTCCACTGACTTGGGGGAACAGTGGCTGCTCTGCTGGTGGCAGGCAGGACACGGTCCCAGACACCTTCCAAGGCCAGTGCCACCAACAGATCAAGGAACTCCCACTCCAGTCTCTTCCATGGATTTTTTTACCCAGTCAACATCAAAATCCTACCCTGTTCCTTATGTTGATTGGAGGTGTGCTCTGGTTCTGGTGGGTTTTCCAGCTGACCCAGGAGGGGTTGTTTTACCCAGCACTCCCAAACTTCAGGGCTCCCCAGATCCAGCTTAAATTATATAGAGTTCTCTGGGCAAGCTCTGGAACCCAACTGTAAATGAAAATTCTGGTGTAAAACACAACAGCTGCAGCCTTTCCGTGCTCTTCCTTGCTCCCAAGGAGTTGAGCTGCTCTCCAAGCAGAAATTCCTGGTGAAGGCTGAAAGGCGAGAGCAGAATCGTTCCCTACTGAGCTCCAGCCTGTCTAGGGGGAGGTGAGCGGGATTGACAGGGGCATTTGTTAAAATTGGGGTTTTCCCACAAAAACTGCAGGATGTGTGGCCGACGGGCCGAGCCCAGCATCACCCGCAGGATGTCAGGGATTCACGGAGCTGTGTAAATCCCGGGGGGTGGAGGAGGCTGGGAATTGCAGGGATTTGTGTTCCAGCCGGTAGCAGGAGGTGTGACAATGCCATGGATCGCCGGGGTGGGACACAGCTGCCCTGGGCTCATCCATGGGAAAAGGCTGCAGGAGGAGGACACCAAAGCAGGATGGGGCTTTGGCTCCTTCCCACAGGGATGGCTGGTACCCGATCCCAGGGGATGCTGCAGGCATGGACTCACTGTCCCCGGGGCGGGGTGGAGGAGCTGCTGCCCAATAGTGAAGCCCGAGCCAAAGTGCCTTTGCTGGAGCAAGAGCTGGAGTAATTTATCGGGAAGCTTTTAGGGAAATGAGCGGCTGCTGGGCCCCTGCCAAGCGCAGCCCCGCTGGGCTCTGCCCGTGTCCTCTGGCAGCTCTTGCTGGGAGAGAGGGGGACGGGAACAGGAGTGGGAATGGGGACAGGATGTGGACTGGGGTGAGGACAGGACAGAGAGAGAGATGGAAAAAGGATCGGAATGGGGGTAGGGATAGGGTCAAGGATGGGGACTGGCAGAGGGGAGAGGGGCAGGGATGGAAATAAGCATGGGAATGGGCATGGGGAGCAGTCAGGGATGAGGATGGGGATGGAGGTGGAGATGGGATGAGGATGGGACAGCAGTAGGGATGGGGAGAGGAGAAAGGGACAGAGAGAGGAATGGAAATAATGACGGGAGTGGGACTGAGGATGGGGTTGTGGATGGAGACAGAGATTGGGACAAGGAGAGGGATGGAGCTGAGCCCATCCCACACCTTGCAGTGCAAGAGAGAGAAACAACCATCACCAACTTCCTTGCTTCCTGTCCCAAACACTTCCCAGGGCTGTGGAATCGCAGCCCTGCAACCCCTGCTGGGTTTGCTGCCACTTTTGCTCCGTTGTCCCCGTGTCCAGGGAACCCGTGCAGGGTCCTGCTCCCTCCCACCTGCCCTCAACCGCGGCAGCCCCCACCTCCCAGCACATTCCCTTTGTTTTTCCCTTTCCTGGCAGTCCCTTAATTGAATTATCCCGGAGCATCTCTGTTGCAGCAGCCGCAGTGATCCGTCGCCGCTGCGGCAGAGCAGGGACGCGGCTGGGACCCCGCTCCTGCATCCCGCCTGCTCCGGGATCGGGAGCTGCCATTCCAAAGCTGCCCCAAGAAATCCGTTCTGCCGATTCCCATTAAAATTAATTGAGCAGCTTTGAAACGCTGAGCTTAGGGGATGGCGTTATTCCTTTTATCTAATTTTTTCTTTTATGTTATTGTATTTTCTGGCAAATTAAATTGTCTTTTTTTCTTTTTTTTTTTTTCCTTCTCTTCTGTTTATTCACAGTGTCTATAATAGACCTGGTTAAAAATAATATATATATACATATATATATACACACACACATGTCTCCAGCACCACGTGGCTCCTTTGGAAATGCCAGTCCATAAAAAATCCAAACTTTCTGCGGGGAGATGGATGAAATTTCATTACAGATGCGGAGCCTCCCTCACTTTGCAAGGCAGCCGGAATGATTTCATTGCCGTGGAGCACTTCCCATTTCCATTTCTCATTTGGACGTTCGCTTCAATTTGTTTGATAAATTAGAGAAGATCAAAAAAAAGGCCCCACCCAAACCCCAAATTGATAAAACACCACCAATTCCTCCTAGCACCCCAAAAATGGGGTGTCCCCCCCATGATGCTGCAGGGAATTCCCATGCTGGTGCAATGTGTTTTCCCCATGGGAGCAGCCAGGGAGGTGAAGGTGGGGATGTCCCAGCCCCAGTGTCCTGGGATTCCTCCAGCCCCATTCCCAGTGGGAAGTGCTCCATAATGGGGGAGCAGCAGCTTTGCCTGATTCTCTCCCTGCCCCAAGCACTTCCCGTTTTTATTTATTCCTTTAATCTCTTTGCCATTAAAAATGTATCGCTGGGGGCTCGGGGAGGATGATCCGTTCGGTGGGAATGGGCTCCCACAGCGCACACAGACGTGAGGCCGTGAAATTCCCCACGTCCCTCAGCTTGGGTCAGGCCCCAAAGTGGTGTAAATCAGGAGTAACAGTGGTTACACAAGTGGTGTAAATCAGGAGTAACAGTGGTTACACAAGTGGTGTAAATCAGGAGTAACAGTGGTTACACAAGTGGTGTAAATCAGGAGTAACAGTGGTTACACAAGTGGTGTAAATCAGGAGTAACAGTGGTTACACAAGTGGTGTAAATCAGGAGTAACAGTGGTTACACAAGTGGTGTAAATCAGGAGTAACAGTGGTTACACAAGTGGTGTAAATCAGGAGTAACAGGGTGCTCCCTGCCACCAGCCTTGGGGCAGGATCCCCAGCTTGGTCTGGGAACCGTGGCCCTGTGGAGCCTTTCTGAGCGCCCCAGACAGATCTTGGTTCCTGCTGGAATTACTGTTAATCCAGGTGAAAGCACTTCTGGGAAGGGGCTTGGGCTGAGCATCCTCCTTGCCAAGGCAAAGGGACGTGAAACATTCATCAAACCCAATATAAAATACCAGAGGCATGGAGAGGGGGATAAAACCACTGGGATCCATGGGAAAAGGCAGGACCTATAGCAGGATCCACAGCCAGAGTGGGGTGGGGGATGTGGGAGCTGCTGGGAATGGGAATGAGCCAGATCCCACTGGCCCCGAGTTTAGGGATGCCCTAGCCCCTGGACTCCTGTGGGTCACAGCCCCCCAAAGCAGTGCCCACCTCCTGTGCCAGGAGGACTCAGCAGCACCCACGGGTGCTCCCAGGGCCCCACCCCATCACCCTCCACCCCAGCATCTCCAGGAGCCCCCACAGCCCAGAGCGCTTCAGAAATACCAGTTTTATTTTAGATCGGAAACAACCAACCAGGAAGAACAAAAGAAAAACCCAAAAAAACAAAACCAAAAACAAAACCACCACCCCAAAACCCCCAAAAACTCCAAAGAATGAGAAACGGCCCCAAATCCGAACCAGTCCGTGCCCAGGTGGGTGCTACATACAGGCTGGGGGGTTCCGGGGCGTGCGGAGCTCCCCGGCCTCGGGGTCGCTCCGGCTCTTCCCAAGGGGGGTCGGCTCAAAGTGCATCAAGCAGGAGGTCAGGAACGTCCCCGCACCGGGCAGGTGGGGAAACCGAGGCACGGCACGGGGCCGGGGGACAGGGAGGGGCTTTGGGGGGGAGGGTGGAATCCAGCCCTTGGCAGCCAAGTCCATGCAAACGCTCCCGGCTCTAGGAACCATCTCAGGCGCGTGTATTGCTTAGGGGATGATTTGGTTTATCCTAAATATGAGCTCTAACGCTAGATCGGAGAATCCGACGGGATCCGCCGCGGGAGGGGCTCACGGGGCTCCATGCACGTCACATGCACTCACGGGTCGGTTTTTGTCTGGCGAGGGGGGGTCGGTGTCGGTACCAAAGTCTCCTGCGAACAGCAGCGACGGCAGCGCCCGGCACGGCGGGGCCCCGGCGCGGCTCTGTCCCCTCGGCTGCCCCCCTCCCCGGGGGGGGTCACGTCTCTGGGCCACACATGGATGTACATTGAGATATTTATAGATATTTATAGGTGTCTCCTCCTCGCTGGCGCTGCGGGTCCCCGGCGGCGGGGGCACCCCGTTACTTCATCCCGCTGCGCAGCACCTGGTTGGCGGCGATGAGCATCACGCTGATGATGAAGGCGATGGCGAAGGCGCAGATGAGGCTCTTCCGCACGCAGGTCTGGCGGATCTGCTGGCTGGAGCAGGCTGGGGGTGGGACAAACACCGCGTTACCCCAACCCCCAACACGCTCTCCTGGTACCGGGGGTAACCAGTGCTACCCCCGTGGTTTGGGATCCCCGTGGGGGTTTTGGCATTCCCGGTGCCCGGCACTCACTCTCCACGTCGACGGGGCACTCCTCGGCGGTGCCCATGTGGCTCTCCTCCTCCGTCATGATGATGTTCTCGATGTCCTTCATGGACAGGTGCTCGCAGAAGGTGTCGTACAGCAGCCGCTTCAGCTCGTCCACCGTCAGCTTCTGCATGTCACACTGCCGGGGACCGGGGGGCTCGGGGTGACCCCATGGCCGGCAGCACAGGGGGCTTCAGGGTCCCCCAGAACCTTTGGATGTGGTGGTTTGGGTGGATCACCCTGGAATTGTCTGGGAAAGGCCTGGTGTCCTGGTGACCCCCAGCAGAGCGAGGTTCATTCCAGCCCTCATCCTAACCCTGACTCCAACCTGAACCCTGACCCTAAACCTAGCCCGAACTCCCTTAAACCGGTGCTGACCCTGAGCCTGACCCCAAGGCTTATACTAACCCTAAATTGGAGCCTGAGCCTGATCTTGACCCTAAACTTGATCCTAACCCTAATCTTAAACCTAATCCTGACTCTTAAAGCAGCCATAACCTTGTCCTTGACCTGACTTTCACCCTCAGCCCAGCCCCAATTCCAGCCTTGACCCTCATGCTGTCCCTGATCCCAACCCCAGCCTTGGTCCTGACCCTGAGCCTTCCCTGGTGCTCTCGGTGCAGGTTCTGGGGAGCTGCTCCTGGGAGGGGGCTGGGGGTGTCCCTCCATTCCCATGGGGTGGGGGTGTCCCTGCTCTCCCATGGGGCTGGGGGTGTCCCTGCTCTCCCATGGGGCTGGGGGTGTCCCTGCTCTCCCATGGGGCTGGGGGTGTCCCTGCTCTCCCACGGGGCTGGGGGTGTCCCTGCTCTCCCACGGGGCTGGGGGTGTCCCTACCTTCCAGAAGACAGTGTCGAAGTCGGTGCCGTGGAACTTCTCCGGGATGCCCGAGGTGGAGAGTTTGGGCCCCAGTAATGTCACAAACTCCTCAAAGTCCACCTGTCCGTCACCTGCGGGACACAGGGGTGGCTGTCACCCCCTGCCTGGGCACATGGGACACTCCCCCTCTCAGAAGGGGTCCCATGGATGGTCACAGACCCCCAAAACCAGTTGGGAACCCCAAGATCAGCTGGGAACCTCCAGCAAATTTAGGGAACTTCCAGCTTTGGCCAGGATGCCCAACACTGGATGGGATCCCCAGTGCCAGCCAGGACCCCAGGGCCAACTGGGGACACCCTAAGACCACTTATTCCCACCACAATGTGATGTGGGACCCCAGCGCTGGCTGGGGAAATCAAACATCATCCAGGACACGAGTGTGAGCTGGACCCCATTCCAGCTGCGACCTCGGTGCCACCTGGAGGCCTCCCAGGGCTACCTGGGGACCACAAATGTTGGCTGAGGACCCCCAAAACCAGCCAGGGCCTCCCACACTGGGTGGGGACCTCCAACAAAGTTTGGTCTCCCCAGCACCAGCTGGGATGGCAACACTGGCTGGGGTCCCCAGTGCTGGCCGGGACTCTCACTGCCATGCAGGTACCCCCAGTGCCATTTGGGTCCCCTTCCAATGGGACCTGGGGACACCCAGTGTCACCTGGAGCCCCCAGGAAAGGTCAGGGAAGCCAAACACTGTCCAGGAACCCCAGTTCCAGCAGGGACCCCAGTTCCAGCAGGGACCCCGGTGGTGGCCGTGGCCCTGGGGGTGCTTGGTGGCCGTTGTGGCTGTGTCCCCTGGCAGTGGGGGACGCTGGCCTGGGGCTGTCAGGGCAGCACTAACGATGAGTAATGAGGGGAGCGGCGCCTTGGCAGCGCTGCCGGAAAGGCTTTTAAATGGGGAAAAAAAGGAAAAGCAATAAATTAAGGAGCTCTTTCCGGTCCTGATGGGTGATGGAGGGGTGGGGACAGGGGCACGGTGGCAGCGAGTGCTGGAGGGTGATGGGTGCTGAGGACACGACCCAGGGTGCAGGATCCACCCCTGGCTGCGGGATCCAGCCTCGGCACAGCAGATCCAGCAGGTTCAGCAATCCCACACTCATCCAGGATCCTTAAATCTTCCCAAACAAAGCTGCAGTGGCCATGATGATGATGATGATGATGATGATGATGACGATGATGAAGAATGAGGGGAAGGCTCCAGCGGGAGGCAGAGCCTGGGTCAGGCTCATCCCACATCCCGTGTGGTGTCCAGCATGTGGGGTGGAAATAAGGAATTGTGTCTTTCTCCCAGGTGGGGGTCCCGTGCCTGTCCCCAGCCCGGCTTGCCGGGGTCCTACCGTCCATGTCGAGGCGCTGGATGATGACCTCCAGCTCCACCTCGTTGGGCATGTACCCCAGGGAGCGCATGGCCGTGCCCAGCTCCTGCTTGGAGATGAACCCGTTGCCATCGCGGTCGAACACCTTGAAGGCTTCCCGGATTTCTGTGGGGGGAGCAGGAATGAATCCGGCTGAGCTTCCTGCTCCAGCACCCACAGAATGCCTGTGGGGATCCCACCTGCCCCATGGACCCCCCAGCCTCCCCCAAAGGGTCCGACCTCCCCAAGAGACCCCGAGTATCTGCTCCAATTCCAGTCACCCGCTCGCCGCACCCACCCTGCCCTTGCTACTGCCCCAGCCGAAACCGCGGCGTTCTGCCCTAAAACACATCCCTCGCATGTGCCCGAGCTTGGGGTGCCACCAGCTGGGCGCTGGGGCTGGGGACATCCCCGCCGTGCTGCAGCATCCAACTGCATTCCTGAGGATCCACGGGGGCTGGGGCTGCCCCCATCCCAGCGTCCCGGGACCTCGGGGTGGGGTTGTGCCCCATCCAGTGCTGTTAGGGTGGGTCTGTGCCCCCATCCTGGGCTCCAGGGCTGGGTGCTGGAGCTGGGCCACATTTCACATCCCAAAAAAAATCCCAGATCTTGATGAAATTGCTGCAGTGTTCAGCCCGGTCTGGTGCAGAGGAGGATGGGAGTGGGAGGTTTGGGGGTTTCTGGCTCAAAATGAACCCTGGGATGTGGGAGATGATCCCGGCAGGGTGGCAGGAAAAGGCCACAGGGAAATTGAGGCACAGCCTGTGTCCATTGACTCCATCCCATCTCCTGCTGCACGAAGGACTCTGCTCCTTTTGGGGCAGTTTCTGGCTTTCTGATGCCACCTGATGTGCAAAGCTGGAACCAGGCTGATGGGAAAGAAGGAGCAGGGAATTTGCACTGCAGGACAGTGGGAAGCCAGACCAGAATGTTGGTGCCTCTTCCTTCTCCATGCGGCTGCCAGTGAGATTTGTGCTGGAGGATCCCAGAAGGAGAAACGGGCTGGGAACTTTGGGTTTGGGGGGAAGAAGCCCACACTGGGTCACGGTACTGCCCCAAGTGCTTGGGAACATCCCTGCCTGGATGGTGTCACACGGGTGACATCCTTAAGGTGTTTTCAGGGAGTTTTGTAGGATTTTGGCCTGTCAGTCTGAACTTCTCCATGGCCAGTGTCCCTTCCTGGGCAGGGATATTCTCCAGCCTGTCCCTGTGCTCCCGGGGGGCCTCACTACACTCCCAAATTCATCTTTCAAGGATGCTCATCCCAGTGAGCTCCAAGGTGGCTCCTCACCAGATGGTTCGGGGTGTTGGGGAACAGGCGGGGAAATGTCCTGGCAGTGGCCAGAGTGGGGTCCTGGCTGGCCACTGAGCACCCTCTGCCCCAGCTGCACCCCGAGGCTGCTCAGCCCCAGTGTGAAGCCGGGTCTGATGTCACCGGTGTCCCCCAAACCAGGGGGGCAGGGGGAGGCAGGAGCCCCTGGGTGTCAGCACCTTGTGGGGTCCCCCTGGGGCTCCCAGCGCTGCCATCGACCCCCGCTGGGTGCTGAGGGACACGGCACTGGGAGAACTGGGACAGCAGCAGGGACACGGGGACACCACGGAGGGGTGTGAGCACAGACAGACACGCGGACAGACACACAAACAGACACACGGACAGACACACA